GTGTGTGTGTGTGTGTGTGTGTGTGTGTGTGCTCATATACATACTATATACATTGGTGAGGCTTTTAATGGCCTAACCAACACTCCTGTTTTGTAGGTTTGTGAATATCTGTGTTGTAGGCTTCCAATGGATTCATTTTGTTTTGTTTTTAATGATACCATTTCATTCAAAGTTGCAAAACTGACAAGACAGTTTTTGCCAGACACAGTTAACAAATGTTGTGTGGCTTTTGGTATTCAGCATTTAACCCTTAAGATACCTCAATGCTTTATTAGGTTCAATATCTTGTTCTAGAGCAGGTTGTAGCTAGTACACGGGGCAGCCAAAACCAAGAAAATTGAGAGAGATTCTGGATTTCTTGATTTTTGGGTAACAAAATAGCAGATAAGAGCTGTAGTAAAGGTTAAAAAAGCAATGTTAGAACACTGAGCCTTGTGCTGGTTCTGAGAAATCAGACTGTCACTGATACGGGAAGATAAAATCTGTGAGCATAAAATAAATAATTACACCTTATGTAAAAATTGATATGGCTAAAGTAATGTTATCAAAGTTAAACCATGAAAGAAATGTGTATTTTTCTATAACATGTGCAATGTGCATTTTTTTACAGCTTTTACAATACAAACAAGGTATGCTATTTAGTTACAATTCTATTAGGACTCTAGAAAGGAGTCACAATGGTTGTATTTTTGCTGTGTGTTTTGGAAGCAGGACTTCAAAGTAAAATAATCAGAACTCTGCTGGAAGTTAATTATGTCCCTTTTTAAGACAGAGTCTCTGAGTTGCTGATAGCTTTGGATCTAAAAGCAAGCCAAAAAGTGCCTGTGTGGCTGCAAATGACCTAACTAATGGGGGAAGACAACAATTGCCCATAATAAATACACTGGGTCAGCAAACAAATGAACCAGGCTCTAATTGTGAGAGACTTTTTGAGACTTTTCAAATGTATTTGCCAACACATTCTAACATCTCACTTAGAAATCCCACTGTAAATAAAGCCTAACACATCTTTCATTACTGACTTGTCAAAGAGACGGAAAATAGACCAGCAGTTAGTCAAAGTGAAAAGTAAAATAATCTCCCATGGCAAGTACCTCTTTTATGCTATCAAAGAAATCCGTCATGCAGGTAGAGCTGATTGTGGACACCACAGGTTGATCTGTCTTTCAGGACAGTCTTCCTGTTGTGAACATTCAGGGTACATCTACACAGCAGGGTAAAAGTCAAATTAAGGTATGCAACTTCAGCTACATCAATTGCATAGCTTAAGTTGAAATAGTTTAATTCGGCTTTTAGCACTGTCTTCACAGCAGGAAGTCAATGGAAGAACACTCTCCTTTTGAATTCCCTTACTCCTCATGAAATAAGGGTTGCCATGAGTCAGAGTAAGAAGACCTACAACTTGACATTATTTTGAAATAAAAGCTTGTTGTGTAGATGCACACTCTGTTATTTTGCAATAATGTCAGTTACTCTTAAATAATGCTGCTGTGTAGATGTGCCCTCAGTTGTTAACTAGTTGGTGAAGGTAGACTAAATATTCTTGCTTTTATGGCCTCATACTCACATTTCACATTATAGTTTTAAAGGAGTAGGCATGTCAATTGTGAAAATTACAACATTTTTCTAGTTGCAAATCTGATTTTTGTGGGGCAATTGCCATATTTTTATGAGAGGCATAATTAACATTGGGTCCTAAATAACATTTACAAGGCTTCTCTCCTAATGACAACTGGTTTTTTTCCCCTTCAGAGTGTACAGAGCTTTTGCCTGTTCAGATGACTAAATTGTTCTAATCCCTGGACTGAGAGTACATAATTAGAATAACTTGTGTTATGCCAATATTAATGAAATTGGCCCAGGTCCTCATCTATCCCTGGTAATTAGCAGATATGTACTGTTTTATACATTCACATTTTTATGCAAATATTATCCAACCTTCACAGTGTCTGTATAAGTTAGGTATTGTTCTCCTCATCTTCTATCAAAGGAAATGGACAACAGTTTTCCCTATGTCCCCATGTCATTCAATAAGTGAACTGCAGAGCAGGGATTAGAATGTAATAGTTCCTTTTCTATAAGCCAATATCTGTCCTCTAAACCCCACAGTTTGTGAGCAGTGGGTGGTGGGGTGGGAGGAAGTGCTGTCACTATGATAAGCTAGCAAAGATATAATTCAAATGTGACATTTATAAGTTCTAAGCATCTTCAAAACAAATGCATCATTTGATATTTAAGAATATTTTGAGACTGTTGATTTTGTTTGCCTAACATCTTCCACAACAGGAACCAAAACACTGTTGTTTAAAACATTTTGATGTTGATGCCTCCTCTGTTTCAACTGCTACTTTTTTTTTCTATATAATGAAGTTAAATAGTGTTTGTCATTCATATTTTATTTATATATTTTTGAGTCCCTCAATAAAGAATTACAGCAAGTGGTAGACAAACTTCAAAAGGTTTGGAGATTCAGTTCATTTTGGAAGAACACTGAAGAGTCTGCATTTGCTGTGAACTCATTCAGCCTTTTTGATTTCAGAAATAGAGCTGAAAATCTCATAAGAACACATTTTCTTGTGAGATTTCTGGTGCTTTGTATTTCCAGCTGGGTCAGAAATACCGTGAAAATAGTCTCTCACATTATTTGGTACTTCTGATGCTGGCATGCTGGTCTATCAATTTGGCAGGAACTTTAAAAAGTGACACCTGCAAAGTTATTGAGAGGTTGTCACTTTGCAAAATGCCAGAAACAATCAAATTAATCATGGCAAAGTTAATGGAGGCATTTAGATTGAAATTTGCCATGTCCACAGGCTTTGAGTGTCTTGATTGTGAGTCTCGAGAGGAGCATCTGCAACTGCCACAGCAAAATTAGTGGCTTTTTTTTTGTTAACTTGACCCCTTAGTATGACATTATAAAGGATGTAATTCATATAGGTTCTTATGTTGTCTTCTCCAGTATAGAGATACCTTTTATTAAGTGGGAACATGGGAATAATTCTTACAGCTCAACTCCTGAGAGACACATACGCATAGATTTGAAGGGCAGGGTCTGGTCTGGACTATATCACACAGGCCATATGACTTCCCTGAATTAACTTATCATTTAGGAAAATACTAGCTATAAAACTAACCGGAATCAAAGGGTGAAACTGAAGTCTGCAGGAGTGCCATTGACTTCAATGGAACCAGGATTTCATCCACAATGCTGGGGCAAAACTACATACCAGGAAACTTTTAACTCTGGGGTCTTGAGATTATAAACATACATTCACAACAAGGAAGCTTTTCAGATTTACCACAATACACAGTGAAAGAAATATCTAGTTGTAACACTTGTATGAACTTCTTTGCTTTTAAAATCTACTCTGTTCAAATCTTATCTGCAGGAATTATGCACATGTAAAGAAAATCTGTTTATGGCACTGTAATATCATATAAATATGCATGTCACATGCTCTTGCTGCATTCTCTCTTGAATGCAAAATTTCCCCCTCTGATTCCTTCCAATCCATCTTCAATCAGACTAGTCCATAGACTCCATTTAATATAAATTCATATTGGTCCTTAACTGCTCAGCTTCCAGTCTCCTTTTGTCTCTGGGTTGGTGTCTAAGATACACCCTGGCAATGAGCAATTAACTCTCTGCTATTCTTCTCTGACTTTGGTCTCCCTTCTTTATAACTGTGTTTGGGCTTTCTTATTGATCACAGCTCCAGGTGAAGGTCTCTACAATTGGCAGTTCTGGCAGCTAGGTGGGATGTGTGATCAGCCTAATTGCTTGGAAGCAAGGAAGGCAGATAGAATCGACTGGTGAGTCTGTGTGTTTACACATTCTAGTCTATGCCAATGGCAGAGGATATGAATTATTACAGCCCATGGTTACAGTAGCTGGACACTTTGGCTCAAATATTAGCTGCTTATGTTTTTAGCTCTTCAGGTTCTAGGTTCAATCAAGCCAAGATGGCAGTCATCCCACAAACTTAACGTATACACATACAATATTAACTATTGTTCAATCTATAAGTTGCAAGAACAATGGCAATCTAAAATTGCAGCAGCAACTGCAAAACCAGACTGGAACCTGCAGACGTTTTCAGGAGGACTATTCTTTGTACATGTAGTCAAACTGAACCTGTAGTATATAAATTATATCCCTCTTGTCTAAACTAAACCAAAGTAATATTAATATACTTCTAGAAATATAGAGGTGCTGTCATATATGTGTGTCGATTTAAATTATGTGCTTTCAAAATATCGTAAAAAATGAAACCCCCAGATTTTTTACAGTTATTTCAGTTATAAAAAAGTACTTTCCTTAAACATATAGTTTTGTGAAGCTACATCTCTGCATGTCAGAAAGGCTACCATATTTCATCCAAGTTTTCACTAACAAGGATGCCTTCCTTTGTCATCATGCAAGTTTTCTCCTTGAAATTCCAGGTGCTGTAGAAGAATGTAAACAATAATAGAAGCTCATTAGAATGAAACTATCTTTCTTCACAATGGGAGCTTTCAATATGCATTTAATTGGCAGAATGACAGAAGCAATGAACAGAAGCAATGGAGTATGTGAAAACTGAAAATATGGAATTTCAAGGGGCATGACAGTCAACCTGTGAAGGTGAGAGTATTGTTTTAACCCTTTTGTCTGTAAGGAGTCTACCAATCTTTACTTTTATTTAAGCAAAAGGGTAGTGTAGGGACATTTCATGACACTTCTCAAAGAGCACTTGTCGAAATAGCATGTCAAAATGTTTTTGACAGAGCTGAAAACACAGGTGGTAAAAACTAGATTTGTTGCAAACGGATAGGAAATGAATTATACTGCATTAGTTCTGCTGTGATGGCATAGAATGTTTTGAATTTTCATGTAAGAGTGAAAATTGCTCCCTGGCAGAGGGCTTGTGTGAGGTCCTGTACATTATGGAAATTTCTCAGTATACATGGGAGAGGAGATGGGGGCTAAATTAGGGATCTGGTGGAGAAGACATTCAGTGGCACTTCTGTAGCCCTCTCTAGGGAAGAAGAGCTTCATGTCAGTTCAAAATAGGCTGAATATGCTTAAGTGAAACTAAAAGTTGGGAATCTCTGCATACTTGCATGGAGGGTTGAGTGTGGGAGGGCAAAGGCCACTATTTTACTGGTTTGGGTGTCAATTTGCAAAGGAGCTGTGCTACAATACTGTGATCTGCTCCATAATTGATTTGGTATAGCTCTGTTAGGAGGCCTCGTGCCATTGCCTTTATACAAAGAACATAGGGGACCCAATCCCTCTGCATTGGTACCCTATGATTCTCAGACAGGACAGCTTCAGAAGGCATGACATTTCTGATTTCATTGAATTTCACTCTAACCATAACATTCACCTGCTAAACTGCAAACTGATACAGTCCAAGCAGGTAAAGGAAAATGAGGAAGCTATCATGTTAATATCCTGACAGAGGCTCAGATTTCCCTTAGATAAGACATAGAAGACATGCACAAGTAAGAATGAGCTAGGTCAGTGAATAACGGGTTTTGCCTGAAAAATTGTTACTTGGCCGAGATAACAGGGACAATTTATATATTCACCTGAGATACTAATATCCTCAGAAGCTAATTCATAGCTCATCCTTAGTAGAAAGTGTAATATTATTTAATTGTCTTGTCAAATTTTCTGGGTAAAACTGCAAGTTAATTTATGAGCTGCATATATAGACTGTCTGAAAAATCAATACAAGTTTAACTAAACCAATTTTCAAATTTAAATAAGAAAAAGCCAGCCATTTAAAAACAAAGGATATCCTCAGGCTGAACCTATTATGGCTCTAATTAAACCTACATTAATCACATGCCCTGTTCTTTAGAAAATCATAGCCAACTTAATATGACCATGTGTGTTTAAAAATATATAAAAGAAGATGCAATGTAAAAAAGCAGATCATAGAAATTATTCCACTCAATTAATTGGCAAAAATAAAATGTATAAATTTCCTGCTAACAAAATATTATTTTTGTACTCATCATTAGTCTCTTTAAACCTTATGGTGGCAGTTAAAAGCACAATGTTCTTTCCATGTCGCTTTTCATAGACGCTAAGCATGCCCTGACTATAAGGTCACAAAGTTAATTGGCAATTTCATACTTAAGATAGATAATTCTCTTTTACAAATTATCTGATGTTCAAATTTAAATTTCTTTAGTCAAGGTTTTAGAGTAAAAGCATAACTTCAAATCAGGAAATATTCACTGGGTTAGTGTTGTCTTCCCATTCAGTACCACTGACTTAATTACTGATTCACTCCCAGTGAGTCACTCATAGTGAATATTTGGACATTTTAAAAGTAGTGGTTTTCCATTTGCTAATGAAAATAAAATGGATTTTTAATGGTGGATTTGCCTTGAAACTAAGAAGGCTGTAGTCTTTGTATACCAAACCCTGATAAACACAGTTTAATGTTGGACATTGACTTGTTTACATTACATTAACATCTTCAGCCCAAATATTCCATATAAATTAATACAACAGTCCACATGACAGGGAAATAGGTAAAAGGTACCAGTGGGAACTAGTGCCTCCAGAGTTCATTGAGTCTCCCCTGCACACTTCTGAGTTTGGGAGAGTAGAGCTTTGAGTGGAGGGGTATCTCCAGATGGATCCCCTTTTTCTCCTTTCTCTTTATCTCCTTGCCATACAGCAAACTGATATAATTCAGTAAATTTTGCTGCATACTTTCATTGGCTACGTCTAGACTGGAATGATTTTCCGCAAATGCTTTTAACGGAAAAGTTTTTCCCTTAAAAGCATGTGCGGAAAAGAGCATCTAGATTGGCACGGATGCTTTTGCGCAAAAGTTCTTTTGCACAAAACAAATCTGAGCTGTCTACACTGGCCCTTTTGTGCAAAAGCTATTGCGCAAAAGGACTTTTGCCCGAACGGGATCAGCATAGTATTTCCGCAAGAAGCACTGATTTTATACATGAGATAGTCAGTGTTCTTGCGGAAATTCAAGCGGCCAGTGTAGACAGATACTCTAGACATAGCCAGTCTAGACACAGCCATTGTGTATTAAACAACAACCACAACAACAAAATAAATCCAAAAAACACGTTTGAACTATTTTATGTTGGAACTTTATTTTAACTAAGAACGTTTGATTAATATGTGAGCTTCCAAAAAGTACTTCTTCTTATCCACCATTTACAGAAACCTTTAGGTACTTTCTGTTCTTGTATCACTTCTAAGCACTACCAAAAAGAGAGACAATTTCTGTCAGTGACATCAGAACATCTAATAAGTACTGTCTGATATTAAGAAATATTGATAAATGCCACTTTTTAGGATGACAGTGACTTCTTGAGATTATTCTTTGCTGGGGCAAAAATCACTTAACCTGGCACAGCATGTAAGTCAAGGTGGTGCCATGAGTGGCAATTGAACCTACTGAAGAAAAGTTAAATGAAAAAAATGAATTTTAGATGCTAAATTCTATTCTATCCATTCACACTTATTAGCTCCCCTCCTGTTAATGAGTTTCTTTTATATATAATGAGTTTCTGTTATATATATTATCATGTGCTTTTGTGGGCAAAACCTTCTTCATAAGATCATGACTTCGAGAGGAAGAACAGAAACCAAGTATTTTATAACATGGGGAAAAAAGTACATGTGAATTGTAGGACCTGTGCTTATGAGGCTGATTAATTGGGCTGGAAGTGTGTGGGACACACTGTACTCAAAACTCAGCTCTGGATGCAAATTTTGTAATATGGACCTTTTATTTTATTTTATTTTTCCTTGGTTATTTTATTAGCATTTTTAGAATGAAAAATAAGGACAATTGAAGTTAATATGAGTTATGGAGTGAGATCATTCAGAGGCGAGGCCAGAAAATTCAAAGTATACAATATACCAGGATAAACAACAGTAACTTCATTGCCACCATTGTAAGCTAAATCACAATTTGTTAAAGACAGAAGATACCTGTTCTGTTCATTCTCTGCGGGGTCTCTGGCATTGGAAGACAGAATACTGGGCTAGATGAACCTTAGGTCTGATCCAGTATGGCTGTTGTTATACATTTTTATAAGATCATAAGGACATAAGATCACTTTGTTTCAAGTAAAAAGTCTAAGGATAGTTTGTGGTATTTGCTATATCCACACAATTCATGATAGCACTTTTTTAGATTTAATAAAACATATAATCAATCCCTTGTCCATATGTAAAGTGATACACCTGCATACAGCCTCATTGACTTCAATGGGAGGAATTGCAGAAATAGAGCAAAGTTCTCTATATTTCCATTTAGAAAAACTTTGCTTTATCATCTTTGCACTCCTGCACAAACACAAGCTATCTTGGCTCATTGTGATAGCTGTATGTAAACAGAAGTATTGCAAAAATATTTCATTTGATGTAAAATACCACTTTTTAAAATAACCTAAATCATTATGTCTGATGTAAAGTAATCAAATTTAACCTTGGCTTTATAAAAATATTTTTTTGTGGTTAACTTTACTTACTTTATCAGAGACTTATCCTTGAATTGACCTTAGAGACTTTTCTTACTTTGATTATGATGTGATTATATTGAATTGTAAAGAAGTAACAATTTGGGGGGATTAAAGTGCTTTTTCATCAGCCTGATTACTTTTTGGTAGAAGAACACAAAGAAAGAATTTGAAAACTGCTTATAAATGTTCTGATTATATTTTAATGCATACAATCTATTGCAAACCCAAGTCAGGTCAGACACTTTGGCTAGGTCTACATAGCACAGCAGCATTATTTTGGGATAACTGACATTACTCTGAAATAACACAGTGCACATCTACACTGCAAGCCTTTATTTTGAAATAATGGCGAGTTGGAGGACTTTTTACTCCGACTCCTGTAACCCTCATTTTAGGAGGAGTAAGGGAAGTCTAAGGAAGAGTGTTCCTCCTTTGACTTCCTGCTGTGTAAACAACACCAAAAGCTGAATTAAGCTATTTCAAATTCAGCTACACAATTGACATAACTGAAGTTGCGTAGCTTAATTAGAGTTTTGCCCTACTGTGTAGATGTACCCTCTATGAGCAGCAAGGAGTCACTTATCAAACAAAATGTAAACATGATTATTTGTCTTTAGATTCCTTTATTCCTTGTTCTTTTTTTCCTCTCATCTATATACATATCTTTGGTGAAAATATAACATGATGTACTCTGGATATAGCTTCCTTTATTTGTTGGTCAATCTTGAAGGGTTTGTTCTCAACTTGACAGCGCTTCTGTGTTTGTCTATGTGTAATGCCATAATTTTGAGTGACACATCCAATCAGTTCCCAAATGTCAAGGAATGTTTGAGTCACTGCCATCGATTGTCTACCCCTCACAAGACCTTAATGGGGTTAAGGAGGCCAGGCAGGCCAATTAATTCCCTAAGGTGTTCTTGGAGCCACTAGGATTGATTTTGGGCTACCTCTAGACTGCAAGCTTCTTTCAGAAGTGGCTTTTCTGGAAGAGATCTTCTGGAAAACTATTTTTTCGAAAAAGAGCATCTACACAGCAAAAGCACAACGAAAAAGCAATGTGCTTTTTCGAAAGATAGCATCTACATTGTGATTGCTGTGGATGGAGTGGCCACCAGGGCACCTGGCTTTTTCCTAGACGCCTCCTCTTTAAAAAAAAAACACTTTCTTCCATGTCCACAGATACCTTTTTCCAGAAAAGCTTTTTTGGAAAAAGGCTTCTTGCTCTTAGAAGGAGGTTTATCGCTGTCAGAAAAAAACTCTCCCTTCTTTCAACTTTCTGTTGAAAGAACACAATAGCAATGTGGACATAAGTGTAGTTTTTCTGGAAAAACTCTACAGTGTAGACATACCCTAAGGGAAGCCTTGCATTAACAGGACAGGCTCTATCAAGCCCAGAAATTGAGAGCAGAATGGGGCTACAGCATATGAGAGAACAAGTGGAGAGACTTCCAGAGGAGGGCTTAGCAGCCTGGAAACCAAAATGGCCTGGGGGAGGCAATTTAGGAGTGAGGGGGCTAAATTAATAATAGAGCTTTACTGATTTTGGGGACTAGAAGAAAAGCGTGTCCATGAATGAGTGCCTCCCTCTCTTCTTCCTAGAACTGATCTCTTACACTGATGATCTCATTAAGTCCATTGAGTTACAGGTGAGTGGCATTTATGTTTAGTTATACTTCCTATCCCTCTGTATATATTTGTTGCTCCTTTTTTTATACTTAGATTGTAAGCTACTTGGATCAGGGACTCTTTTTTGTTCTGTGTTCATGTGTAAACCACAATAGTCCTAGTCTATCAGTAGGGATCCTAGAAATTATGGTAATATAATGAATAATAATGAATCAAGAATACAGTATAGTTTATGGTCCTTCTGAGTTTGAGTGAGATGTAAGCAACACAATGCAAACATTTCTGGGGTGCAAGGGGAGATTAGCTCAACTCCCCAGAGTCTGAAATCAGTCAAGAAAAATAATTAGCACAGGGTTTTGTTTTGATAGTTTGGGATAACAATTTGTGTCTTTGAGGATTATAGGTCTCATATCCGGTACAAATGAAGCTGATTAAATACTGAGAAGAAAAATATTGTCAAATAAATTATTTATCTGATGAGAAATTCCAAAATAACATCTTTGATAAATATTGCCTCACCAGCTGTAGTTCATTAGTGGAGGAGGAAATATAAACATTAAAAAGGTGGGGAAAATCACAGAGAATGTACATTCCCCTTTCCTCTGTATCTGGTCCTAACCCAAAGGCTGTGTTCTGAACAGAGAAGAAAGGAAAGTGATGACTGGCTGGTGTTGTGGCAGTGAAGGATAATGGCCTAATAATACCACCTGCATTTGCAGTTACGGCTCAATTTTGAACTTCTTGGAGTTTGTCAGAGCCATAGCTAAATCAATAACAGAAACATGCATAATTTATGTAGAGCTGCACGTGAAGTAAAGGAATGGGTTAGAGGCCCTTTAGTTGAACAGGACAGAAGAAATGTTGAAGCATCTATAGCTTCATTATTTACAACCAAACAATAAAAAGAAAAACAGTATAACTGACTAGAGTACAGTGCTTCCAATGTGCTTTAAACTTTTCCAGACATGCTATACGTCCCCTTTATACACTAGTGCTTTGCACTCTAAATTTTCAAGGTACTATACAAAGTTGCAGTGTTTTACATACTTAAATTCAGCAGAAAAGTGCTGGATGTCGCTGAAAGTAAAAAAAAAAGTCCAACTCCCTTAATCTTTCTTCCTAACTTAGATTATTCTAACATTCTCCATATCTATGCTTTTTACAATGTACAATACTTGCAAAAGTTCAGTCTCTGTGGAAACACAATTCACTGTAGTAGAGGAGTTTAACATTATACCAGTTAACCTGAGAGCTAGGCAAACATTGGCGATAACCAGCCATCAATATTATAGCATTGCTCATGCTTGCTGTCTCATTTACAATGTAGTATTGCTCCTTTTCCATGTCTCCTAGCTGATTCTGCAGACACTCACGCAAGCTTAATTTTAAGAGTGTGAGTAGAACCATTTAGTTTAATGTTAGCTCTTCACATGTAAAATACATGTGACAGGGTGGGGAATTCAATCCCAAGATTAACGTTTTTCTAGCACTTAAAGTGGTACTTACTTTGGTATGCTAACTGATTATTAGTCATCTTTATTTACTACCTTCTATAAGAAGAGTTTATTCCCCGCAAACCAGAACACCGCATTGATGAGGTTCTAGGTAATTTAAATAAAAAAGAGAGGGCACTATTAGCAGTTTCTCGGTATGGGGACAGAACAGCTGTAAAATTTAGCATGACCCACATTCTTCACTATTGGATACATGATAGTGCTTCTTGAACCTTCCCTTTTCTAACTAGAAGTAACCACAGGAACGAATTTGACTATTTAAGCTGTATGTTATGTACATATTATAATATGTAAATTCAAGTAAAATGTTCTGCTTAAATAACCATCATATTTAATTCTATTGTGAAGTGGCACTGGCAAAATTGACTTTGCACCCTGGGGAATTGAGCTAGTATCCCCCTACATGCCAAAATATGTTTTCATTGTGCTTTCATCTCACCCAGAACCATGGACTACACTGTATTATTGATAATTAATGTATTACAGGCAGTCCCCGACTTACGTGGATCCGACTTATGTCGGATCCGCACTTACGAACGGGGCTTTTCTCGCCCCGGAGCTCACGGGCGGCGGGACCGCCCAGAGCGCAGCAGTCCCGCCACCGCGTCCTCCGGGGCGAGAAAAGCTGCTCCGGGTCTCCCTGGTGTGCTGGGGGGGACTCCCCAGCACAGCAGGGAGACAGGAGCAAAGCCGCAGAGGCGGGGGACCCCACCGCCTGTGCGGCTTTGCTCCGGGGCAAAGGAGCAAAGCCACACGGGCAGCGGGGTCCCGTCGCCTGTGCGGCTTTGCTCTGGTCTCCCTGCTGTGCTGGGGAGTCCCCCCCAGCACACTAGGGATACCGGGAGCAGCTTTTCTCGCCCACCACCCGCGAGCTCCGGGGCGAGACAAGCTAGTGCGCCCTCCCCCCCCAGCAGACCAGGCTTTTGTTGCGGGACACCTGGGGTAGAGCAGCTAGGGTGCTGCCGGGTTGGTCCTGCGGGGACCTACCCGGCAGTGCCCCAGCTGTTCTGTCCCAGGAGTCCAGATTCAGCCGCTGTTGAAACTGATAAGCGGCTGATTCGAGGAAGCCAGGGCAGAGCAACTCTGCCTAGGGCTTCCTGTAGTCAGCCGCTGATCAGTTTTAGCAGCGGCTGAATCTGGAGCCAGTTCCGACTTACATACAAATTCAACTTAAGAACAAACCTATAGTTCCTATCTTGTACATAACCCGGGGACTGCCTGTATTTATGATATTACTATAGCATCCCTAGTTATAGACCCGGACTCCACTGAGGATTCCATGCAAACACAGACTATAAGAGAAGTCCCTGCCCCAAGCAGTTTAGAATCTAAGTATAAGACAGTAATATTTTATGAATTTTCATTTGGTTTTTTTGGTTTTGTTTAGGTTTTTTGATTATTTTGTTTTTGGGGGGTTTTGTTTGTTTTTTGTTATTTTACAATTGAGCTTACAATTACAGTAATTGTGTAGGTCCAATTATCACAACAGATCCCAGTAAATCCTTCTGCTGTGTGACCCTTTTATTACAACCCTAAAATAAGGCCAGGTTAATAAAAGTTTTGTTGATGTTTGTAGATATTTTTTCATTTAATTTGGGAAAAGTTTCAAGTTTTCGGTGGGTTACAGAGTGACAGGTTTGTTAGAAACTACACATCATATTTTGTCTATAGTTCTATTTCTTTGGTTTTTTTATTGCTTGTTGAAACAGCTCTTTTGCTAAAACAAACTCATCCGGGGATGCGCTTTTTGCGTCCGATTAGTGAAATGCCTGAGGGTAATTGAAAAAGGGACAACCAAGGGAAACTCTGAAAGCAAATTTGATAATGTTTAGCTTTAGAACTCACTAAAATATATTACTTGACAGTACTATCTAGTTACATAAACACAAGATTCAAAATGTATTTAGGATCCTGATATAGGAAATTTATGTACTTAAAAATACCTTACCCTCTAAATGTGTGTTTTAAAATACTTTTGAACATTGATGTTTGTTTTGCAGAGGCTTTAGCTCAGTGATGTATTTACAAAAGGGATTGTGATGGACTGTGCTCATTGGAGAAACTACCTAGTGGTTAATGGGTTCAACCTCTGTTCACCACACCTCTACTTTTTCTCCTGTTGTGATCTGTCACCACCACCTGCTCCACCTGCTTTTTAGGTTACCACTCAGTGTGACAGGATTCCTAGGAAGAAATGGGATTTGGTTACTGACGCCTCTAAGCAGCCATTCTTAGCAGGGGGAGGGGTTCCTAAACATATCTATCTTTTCCTCCTTCCCCATGAAGGGAGTCTAGAAATCAAGAGTTTTCATGCCCTTCTTAACTGAGGAAGTGGGTTGGTAAGAGAGCTTAGCCTTCCATTCAAGCAGACTCCAGCCCTAGCACCTATAAGGGTTACCTAGGAGTGCCTTTAGGCTGCCTCTCTGAATCACTTCCCCACTATCCACTCTCTTGTTAATTTCTTGAAGTCTCTAACAAAGAAGTACAGAAAAGAAAACATGCCTTTGGTGTCTCTGGGCAGGCAGGTTCTTCCTAGTCAGCCTTTGTCAGGCATCGTGGGGATTGATGCCTATTCCTGCCTTATCAGGCTGCTACTGAACTATCTGACTCCCTCTTAAATGCCACCTCCAGCTGGAGCATGATCTTCAACTGCATCTGGGTGGGGTTGTGTGGGCCAAGAGTTGCTCCTTAGCCCTATCACCTGGATAATGACCTTGAACAAAAACTTCAGTGTACAAAGAGCCATCATTCCACATAAAACTTTTGCTGACAATGTTAACTGAGGGCTACTATAGAGCCTGTTTTGTCCCACATTATAGAACTTCTAGAGCTCTTGCAATACTTCTATTCATGAAGAGGATAACTTTTTTCCTCAGAACCTGTGTTTAGGCTGGCTGCATTTTCATCCTTTTTCTTTCATGTGATAGTAGCTATCCTGCCTATGCAGTAAAATGTATCAACTGCACCCACACTCAACCTTGACCAAATGAGAGCCAATCACTTAGCACTCCCTTGACTGCCCACTGGTGGGCAGTACAGGTCCTGCAACCCAAGTTCAATTGCAACATATGAACCCTCCTCTTCCCCCCCCCCCCCCCAACACACATCCGTTCGGGCAAAAAACAGACCTCTCCCCCCCCCCCCCCCCCCCAACCTCTCATACCTTGTAGCATGATAGAGGAAGAAAGCAGAAGTGAAAAGAGCCACTCTTGCACTATGAAGGATAGGTAACTGCTTATGATGTTCCCAGCTGATGACTCTCTCCCCCCCTCCCCCACCCCTTTTCCTAGCAGTTGTATCTCATGCTTTGGGTCCCATCACAGCTACACTCCAGCTAGCAGGGTTAATGTTTACATGGCTTACTATTCACCTGCTTATCTCCACTCCTGTAATTTAGTGGCAACATATCTGATGGCTGCAATGTGAGGAATACTAAGGCCCAGTTATAGAACACTTACACACTGTGAGGAGTACTTCCAATACTATCCCCTTTGAAGATAATAGGA